TTGAAGGTATTATTTTTCGCTTTTTTAATCTATTTTCAAGGTGAAAATGAAATGACCATATCCACATCTCCTCCTCATGAGGCAACAACCGGGCCTGACGCCCTTATAGGGGGCACAGAAAGGATGCAAACCCTAACCACTGTTTTTCTCATTCAATGAGATAAAAAGAAATTTAATTTTATAGTTTAAATAACTTTAAAAGTTTTAATAAAAATACCAAAATGTGGTAGAATCTTAGCCATCTACTCTCTTAATTTGTCAAATTGGTGTTTAATGTAAAGAACTTTTGGGTAGGCAAATTAATGCGTAGCACACACCAACAAGGCAACCACGAAAGGGAGCAAGGAGATTTCACTTTTTGTAAATGCTAACGCACCTCTTTTTCCCATCCCCTCCAACGGCGATGCCTTTGTGGTCGGTGTCCAGTAGGGACGAGTTGTGCGCGTCACTGACTATCAACAAGGGAACAGATAGTTGTTGAGGCATTTCAGAGGGCGGATCAGCAGATGGCGTCTGGTCCTTTGCAATGGATTGCCGGTGATCATCTCTACTTGTCTGCAACAAGAATTAACAAAATTTCAAGCTCAAAATTTGCTCTAGCGGGGGCGTAAAAAATGAAAGATGAGTTGGCATTCGTGGTTAGAGACAGGAGCTTTGACAGTATTGACAATTGAATGCATTAAGGGACGAGATTGAATGCAAATGTGGCCACACGCACAGGTGAGAAGAAGCATCAAGGAAAGGAGGATGCGATGTGTGAAATCCACCATCCTCCCCTTTCGCCTCCCCTCTCCCTCCCCTCCTCCCTTAAAAAATTGCCCTCTCTTTTTAACAGAGGAGGTGATTTTAGCGGAGCAAAAAAGTCACCCCCCAAAGAGAGATCCAAAGCTCTCTAAAAATATGACCAATCAAAACAACATTCACAAATTATCTCAACATAAAACCTAATTTATGCAGTAAAATGGTCCTCTTTTCGACCAGTGGATGCACACAGAAGCCACCAGATCGAAACTTTGAAGAAGGCAATTTTTTTGTCCTCTGGCCTTTTCGAGCTCTAATGCACAAATTTATGAAGGCTTTCTTTTTGTCCCTAGAGAGTGTACTAAAGCCAAGGTAGGCTTTCAGTGCCCGTGTCTGTTTTAGGGTCTCAGAGGAATAGCCACAGTTTAAAAACATCTTTTCAAAATTGGGGAACTCGAAATCACCCTCCTTTATTGCTTCCGTGTCACTCGCTTTGATGGCAGCAGGATTTATTTCACCCAAACACCATCAAATGGGAGGGAGACGGCTAATGTCAGCTATTTCTGACGCTGCTGGGAGGGTGGGTTGGACAAGCAATTGGCTATAAACCAAACCAATTAAAGCAACCCGGTGCAGGTCAAGGAGGTCAAAATGTCGTAACACAGTCTTAAAAAAAAACATTTTCCCTCCATCCCATCTGCCTTCTTCATTTCTACATTTTAAAATAAGACCCTGTTGTTTGAATGCATTAACAATGGGGCGGAATTTTTTAAAAATGCCAATGTTTTGTGTGGTAGGAAGCCTGACTAAGGAGGCAACTTTAATACCACTTTTTAACTGACAAATTAGTTTGTATTAAAAGAACGGACAATTATTTAAAACGTTCTTTTAGAGGGGCGTGAGGAAGAACCGTGGAGACCACAGCCACACACGCCGTCTTCCTCCTAACTTGGCAACCCTCAAAGTGCTTAGTAGAGCCAGTCAGCGGAGACTTCGCTTGACAGAACCCCAGACGAAGGCTCCAAAGCCCGGAGCAGCGTATACATCGTTTGTTTGCCAGGCTCTGGCATTAACAAACGCATTTTACTTTTTCAATTCCTAAAACGTGACAGCACAAATGTCTGCCTCTTACTGTGTCCAACTCCTTGAAGTGTCTATTTTAAAAATAACTAATCGAGTCACCCCTACCCAATAGCGTCCATTAAAAGTGCTTTTAAAACAGTTTGCATTAGACTGGTGTGGAGGCCCTGGGAAAGTCAATTAGGACAGATTCATTGCTTAGGCAAGATTGTACAAATTGCATCTCAACAAGAGTGTTTAGCAAGCCATAAGTGCCTTTTGCCTTGACACACACACACACACCACCACCGCTACCTCGCTGACTGCGGTACCTTGGTCGAGGGGAGAGGGAGGGAGGGAGGGAGGGGGAGGATTAAATCTTCTTATCAACACCTAATGGAATGCTTTTTATGCAACAGAATCCCCTTAAAACTGCAAAATCGCTCCACAGTCCAGGTATGCAGGTCCGAATGAGGAATTTTTGGTTACCCTTTGTAGCAATATCAGCCTTGAGGGCCACTGGTGTGGTCAATAAGGCGCCTCTACACGCTGGTCTTAAAGCCAACTTGCCAACCGCAAGTTTTACTCTCTGTTGTTTGATTGTTGACTCCTCACTCAATTCTGTCCTCTTTAAGAAACAGCGACCCAAGCCTTCATCGTCTCACCACTCCTTACTCCACCCACCCTGTAGCGAGGCGACGCCAATGAGTGTCAGTCCCAGCCCCCACAGACATTGCCGTTTTATTTTCAAACAAGGTGTCAAGCAACATGTTTATGTAATGCTTTAAAATAGGCATTGAATTCTTGTTAAACCATGTCCACATGGCCTCGCATTACGGTAGATTAAAGCGCTCAGCAGGAAATATGCCCCATCTACAGTTTTGTCAAATGCCATTTTTCCGTCCCAACAGAGTTGAGGATCAAATATGGGTAACAATATACTCTAGAATTATTCAAACAAAAAGCTGGGGAAAACGTAATGCAGATCACAAATTTGTGATCGGAAAAGAAGGCTTTGTTTCAAATGCGTTCCAGTGGTATAAAACTTATACACCAATACAAACGACCCGTGTGCACTTTAAGTAAATGAAAAGCCTGCCTGGACGCTGGCCTATTTAGTCTTTGTGATTAACCAAAAGTAGGCTAGGCGGTAAATACTGCGGAAAAAGACGCGATCTTACAGGACTGGCGTCATATGGCTCCGCCTCCGATGTTTCAGTCTCTCCTACAGTCTTGCCAAAATTAGAGCCTTTTGTCTTCTTTTCGTGTAGAGCATTTAATTGCAATCGAATGAGTTTAACCCAGTTCATTCTTTTGCTGTTTAGCCCTTTCATCTCTCGTGGCACCTGTTCGGGCGGCGGGAAGGCATTTTCCGATTTCGAGCAGATCTCCGAGGCTCTAGTCTCCTCGATTTCAGCAATATTGACCTCTGATGAGGCTCTAGATGGTCTGGGTAGGAGAGCTGGCTGAAGTAATTGATTTTGCCTTGTAACCCGCTCCGGTGATCTTTCGTAGAGGGAGATGGGGCTGCCGGGTTGAGAATTAGACTTCCCTTTCCCATCTGCAAAATTCTGAATTCTTGGAGCAGCGGGATAGGACGAAGTCATGCTGATGGGGCGTCAGACGTGCTGCAGCATTGCATTGGAAGGCATTCGGATTTTTGTTGACGTCAATTTCAGACAGCGGTAAAGGCCTGCAGTCTGAATGCACTCGTGCTGCCTCCAACCGTACTGGTGCTTCCTGCCTTCTCATTGGTGGATTTTGAACTCTGCTGATTGGTTCCCACGCCTTCGGATTCGTCATAGGCCTCATGTAAAAATAAGGCAGTGAAGTCCCTTGTTTGGACTGTCATCTGATCCAGTCTCTACATAGGCGTTTGACCGATAATGGGGAGCCAATGGACGAGCTCGAGACAAATTATTTTTTTACTAGCACAACCATGTGACAATCATTTATGGAGAGTAAAGGCGTTGTCTCCATTCACATAAAAAGTTATTTTTTAAACAGCACAGGGACACCGAATTTACATGCAAACGTTAATAAAACACTTTACGAGTTTATTGTTGTGCGCTGATGGAAGAGTAGTGCCAATTCAAGTTTTAGCTTAGCGGAAAATACTCTCAAGAGGCCTTTTGAATAACAATGCCGATCGGACACGCTCTATGAATCAGGTTTTGAAGCAAGTGAACCTTAGTAGCCCTTTTTAAAATGCCTCTTAGTCTCCAACCCAAATAAACTGCGATTTTAAGGGCTTTTATGGTTTCACTTTTTTATTATATGTGCATAGAATATTCAAATCCGTGTTTAATCTCAATTCTAGCGATTTTACATGCAATATTCATTCCTTCTGGATCTCTAGCCAGAATTAAGAGATGGATCTCATCAAACCTTAGGCACTTCAATTTTAAATAGCAATTTTAGTTCCTTTCAGCAAAGAGTTTTATGTTTTTTTTTTGGCTAGAATGTATGTACTTGGTCGGGGGTGTTTGGGTGTTGGCTTCCGTAGGCGTGACATGTGAGACATTGAGAGGAAATTCTCTGATCTGCCTTCCAAATTGCCACCAGTCGTGTTTTGGGAGGATTTATGCATCAAACAAATAACGTTGGAAAGAATTAGACTTTTGGTATGACTTACCGAGATTTAGGTCGTTTATTTAATGAACTGGAATTGTTATTTGTGCACCTTTACAACATCAACAAATCCTGGGCTATTGCAAACTTCTACGATGTCCTTTTGGCAGTTAATTACGGTAGGCAAAATAACGCTCCAGACTTGGCCTAAATTACATCAAGGAGGAGAAAAGTTGATTAGGCCTAATTAAAGGTGACTATTTGATAACTACTGAGTGAAAGCGTACACAATGAATGCGAAACGGAAATGGAGGACCGCGCAGGGCTAACAAAATGTGAAAGTGGAGTTCCGGTCTAATGTGTAAAAAAAACACACATGCACGCTGCACTCGAAGCTTTGGACTTGCATTGGAGTTGCAGAGAAGTTGGTAGTGGGTTTTAATGCGTGCTAAATTCTCCTAGCAAATTGTACTTTCATTTGCATCGTCGTGGTCTTTGGGTCATGGCGGTAGCCAGCCTGCATTTCCAAAAGACTCGCAAAACTGCAGTTGCAGTATGGGCCAAAAGGACAACTGCCATGTTTTCCATGGCTCACAAACAAACTTTAGTAGTATTCCTGAATGGCATCTGGAGCTGAACAGCAAATCTATGGACATTCTTTACAAAAGGGGTGAAAACAACATTATGGCTCGGCCAATCCCTTAAATGAAAGCCTCATTTGTGGGCTATGGGAAAATAAGGGATCGCAACGTTCAAAGCATTCGAAAAATTTCTTTGTGGAGCTGTTAGTGGCGAGTATTTGAAAATAGTGATCCCAAAGGATGAGGGGAAGTAAATGATGCCACCTTGCTGTGCCCACCAGGTGAGGGCAATCCAGATGAACAGATTTGAAACGTTAGGGGAGGTGCGATGCCACCAAAACCGAGAGCCAAATGAAAAGGTGGTTGGAACACAAGCATTGGTGTTGTTAAGCTATTTTGGGTTGGCTGGGTGTGGTTTTGGGTCACTTCGCTTACGGATGGAGGTTGGCATGCCAAAGGAGGCACAGAGTGGGGAGAGGAGGATCGTTTGATCTCGAGTGGTTGAGAATCAGTGCAGTTCTCCCTTCCCAAAGCAGTGATGGTGGTGGTGGTGGTGGTGGTGGTGGTGGAGAGTTGACGAAACGGCAGTGCGACTAACTGAGGCGGGTGTAGGCGGTGGAACGGAGGAGATGGCCTGACACGCAATGCCTCGACCATTTGTCTCGCTCTGTGTCAAACTGGACAGACACTTCGTAGCTCTCCACCAACACCACCACCAACACCACCTTCCACCAATGTGGCATGGTGGTTGAAAGACAATGGCGGTAGTCTCGATGTCATTTTCGTGAGGTGTCAACTGGCAGCACAGTTCGTGCTCACATATTGTGCTGTCTATGTTGCTGCGAATGTGTCTAAATCAAATGGGGAGCCTGTCGCTTGTCTGGACACAACAACACCTTCCCCCCCCCCCTCTTGAGTCTTGTGGAGATGGTTAATGCAGGTGTGCACACGAGTAGGCGAGGCGATCGCAGTCACCCACTCCCAACTCCACTTCAATTCACTTCCCACCCACTTACGCACTCGCATCGCAATTTTCTCGCTGCATTCCAACTGCGTCCCGCTGCTCTGATGTAATATTAATTATTCCCTCCTAAAAGACCAATATGGACCTATTAATAGATTGTTTTGATGTCCCACAACCTCCTTTCTCCTCTAGAAGTGCGCAGCAGTGTGTGTGCCAGCGCCCATCCACCGCGCCCTGTCGTGGTGACCAAATGGTAGTGCAATTCGACGTATTGCTCCTCGAGGTCAGAGCGTTGAGCAGTACTGGTGCCATCGCAAGTGAGGTGGCAAA